CATCTTGAATATTTTGCGTAGCCAGCAGTTTGTGAACTGGTTTGCGTTCTATATTCTTTTGCTGGGTACCCCACGATTGGTGTATCCTCGCAAGTATTGTTTGTTTTGTTGTATGTTGTCTTACGTTTGTCGTAATATTTGTTTTATAAACCCACACAGTGGGATAAACAAATTAAAGCATACATAATCGGGCGGGGACGCATTGTGATTTTACACTGCTTCGTTGCAGATATCATGCCCTCCTGCTCAAGGAGCCGGTGTAATATGTCGGCGTGGGATCCCCACCCCCTGTGCCTTAATTGTACATCCGACATGGGAACAAGCTGGCGCTTATAGACGACCCGCCGCTACATGGGTACAACCTGGCACTTATAGACGACCGGCCGCTCACGTCGTTGCCTATAGCCACCTACCTCCCTACTCAACAAATGCTACCTGGAGCGTCCACCTTATTTAGGATGACCACCTCAGGCTGCTGTGCTCCCAGGACCAGGCAAAGGATGTATTCATCAGCCTAGATATCGAGGATGCCTATCGACATGTCCCTATACATCCCGACGACCGGGTCCATTACCAATGGGCGGTTCCCCCATTTGGATTTTCTTCGGCACGGTGGCTACTCACACAGCTTACCACCATCACCGGGACATTCAGTTCGAGGCATACATAGACGACTGTCTCCTGAATCATTGGGACACCGTCACTCTACTTCGCCACATGGACTTCACCTCCTGGCTCCTGCACCTATTGGGGTGGAAGATCAAACTCAGGAAGTCAGAGTTGACACCCTCAAATCGCCTTCAGTTCATTGGGGGCCTCTTCCAGACGGACCTCTATCTCTTCTCTGTACCCAGAGACCGGTTGGAGCGCAGCAGGCGCACCTGATTCCAGCTCTCCACCTACCACGCACTCTGCACCAATGGCAAGTCCTCCTGGGCCTCCTCCTGGGCATCCCTGGTTGTGGACGGTGGAATCAAATGTCTTAGGCGACGTTTCCTTAACAGGACTTACGACACCTCTGCGCCTATTCATGGACGGGCCCCTGCAGTGTTCGGGCACACACCTGGAGGGACAGGTTGCCTCGGGGCTGTGGTCCGCCTGATCAGCGCCTATGGCACATGGACAACCTTGAACTGGAAGCTTTTATCTTGGCCATTGCTCAATGGAAGTAGGCCCTCAGACACGCCCGGCTCTCCATCTCGACGGACAACATCACTGTCGTATGGTGCCTTCGGAACCAAGGAACGACTCACTCCACTTCGCTCCTTCAACAGACGTTCCGATTGTTTCACCTGGTGGATCATCTGAAGATTCAGTTCCAGGTCCACCACATCCAGGGCTGCCGAAACATCCTAGTGGATGCCCTCTCTCGGCCAGGCAAAGTGACTCCCACAGAGTGGAAACTTCACCTAGATGCCTTCGTTCTTGTTTGTCGAGACCACGGTCTCCCCAACATAGACCAATTCGCCACCAGCAAGACTAACAGATCCACAACCTACATATGTCCGGTGCTGGATCCACTGGCTTGCGCAGTCGACACTTTCAGTGTCCCCTGGGAAGGACTTAAAGCATCCGCTTTTCTGCCACCTGTACTCCTCCCCAAAGTTGTCCAGAAGATCAGATCGACACGGAACCTCGATCTGACTTTGGTCGCCCCCAAGTGGCCAGCGAGGGCTTGGGTTGTCGACCTCAGTGAGCTGTCCGACGTGAACCCACTGCCACACCCAGAGTGCCAAATCTGCTGATCCACATCGCCCAACCACCAGGAGCCTCTATGATGACAAGTGGCAATCCTTCGAGAGCTTTTGCACGGGCAAGCACCTAGACCCCACATCTGCATCGCCTCAATTCCTGGCGGAGTTCAAGCTCCATCTGGGTCACAAGTCTAAGCTGAAGGGCAGTACCATCATGACCTACCTGGTGGCGCACAACTCCGTCCTGGCAGTTCCGGAAGATCGACGCATGACGTAAGTCCCGGAACTACAGGCTCTGCTCCGCTCATTCAGCCTGGAAGACCAAAAGGCGAAATCTCGTACACCAGCTTGGGGCTTGAACATCATTCTCACCTTGCTAAGAGACGCGCCTTTCGAGCCACTCGAAACGTCGTCATTCTACAACCTGACAAAAAAGACGGTCTTCCTACTGGCGCTCACCACAGCAGCCAGTGTCGGTGAGCTACACGCCCTAGACGTCACACGGGTCTGCTTTGAGCAGGGAGCACACGGAGCCGTGCATCTGGGCCTATGCAAAGAATCAGCTCCCAGGCCAGCCCGATAGATCGTTCCTCATCCCCCCTCTTTCATCGATTGTAGGCGCGGAAGAGCTCCGTCTATGTGTGGTTAGAGCACTTCGTTGCTACATCCGACGATCCAAGGAACGCCATAGACAACGACGACGCCTCTTCGTACTGGTATCTGCGACCTCGCGAGCGGAAGTCAGCCACAACACGATCGCCCTCTGGCTACGCGCCATCATCCTTCAGGCCTACAGGGCAGCAGGATTGGACCCCCTATGCTCCAACAACCTGCATGAGATCCGGGCGGTCGCCTCCACCATGGCGCTACACGGCAACTGCTCTCTATGCGCCATCATGGAGGGATGTTTCTGGCGATCCAACACGGTCTTTGCCAGTCATTACCTGCGAGACGTCGCATTGTAGGATGTGCAAGGCACGCACAGCTTTGGTCCGTTAGTAGTGGCCCAGCAGGTCACCACTACTACATGTCATTGACCACGCCTCCAAGTCCAGAGCCAGCCTTTTGACCTCCCCTGGCATAAGCCCTGGACTAGAAGGTTCATGCCTCATTTGCATACGGCTCGGTGCTCCAGTCTCGACCTAACCGAGCGTTATTGTCAGGCTGTGCAGTACCAGGACACAACGCATACCTGACTCTTCCCTTCCATGTAATGGTCATCCAGGCCGACCACAGCCGAAGACGGGCTGACGGAAACAGAGTTTCCTATACATGGAGTGGTCACCCGATGCCGACCACACAGCCAAGGATTGGCTAGCGAACAGAGTCTGGAAATAACAGATGAAAGTCCACATCTGAAGGTATGCCCACCTCCGTTTCGGTCCGATAAAGATGCATTAAGGAGTAATGCAGGATAAGTAAAAAATCTAGTAAAATCCTAGATATTTTTTATATTTGTATACTTATCCTGCATGACTGCGTCTAAAGGGACCTGCCCACCGCAGATCTACCTCTCCACGATGCCTTCCGATGTTTCGGACTACAGATTAATGTGAGGATCCGTGACGTCACTTCCCTTGGTAACGTGGGAGCTGCGTGGTGGGCTGGCCTCTAAAGCTAGTTGGAGCAACTTCTTCAAGCAAAGACCCTCACACAGCTCTTTTCTCTGTCAAGAAACAAGCAGTAATATGCAGGATTAGTATACAAATATAATAAATATCTAGGATTATAATGGAACCACAATGAGTACTTGTGCCTTTTGGTAGTTTGAAGATTCTGAATTTTTTAATTTTGGCCGTTTCCATGGAAACATTAAGAAACTTCAACTTTTAGGGTGGGGTTTTGTACGGCCTATATCTTTTTAACTATGCACCCTAGCTTCACCCAACGTGCTACACCCATTTACCACAATGAGTACTTAAGCCTTTTGCTAGTTTGAAGATTCTGAGTTTTTTTGTTTTTGCCATTTCCATGGAATCATGGTGAAACATAAATTTTGGGTAGAGTTTTTGTACGATCCATGTTTACAATATTATGTTTCCTAGCTTCAGCAAAATTGCTACATTAACCACTATGATTGTTTATTATCTTTTATAAGATTCTGAAAGTTTTCTCTTTTGCTCTTTTTCATTTAATGTATAATAAGTATGCGTCATGCTTTATAGTTAATTTCCAGTATCAAAGGATTCCAAGAATGTATGTTGTGCTAAGCAATGATTATCCCACACTAGATTGAAATATAGTTGCAAAAACATGTGTTCATTTCAAACATAATGCATCCTCATGGGGTTACAAAGGAAAGGGCAGTTTCTCTGACTTAAAGCAACAGGTATATTTCATTAATTAACAAACTATTTACTATTTGTTGTTGACCAGCGGGGATAACAGGGGTATGTGAGCTATGCTCACTTCTTTCTTGATACAAATAGGTCATGGACTTAAGAATGGAGTGCATTGAATTCGTTTTGGTTTTGAGCGTTGTCATGAAAATACTCACCAAATGCCCACTCACTTACTCTCTGGTAAGATATATCTCATCACTTTACCCCAAGGAAATGGTAACCAGCCCTGAAATGTGAAGTTGAACAAAGTGGCAACCCTTCTTGTGGACAGATGTTTGTGACCATGTCAGTAATGTGTTTGGGATTTTAGATGTATCAATTGGCAAGCCCTTACTTCTTAAAGTAGCCATGTCAAGACAGCAGTATGAGGCCTATTTGGACCAGTGGCAGACAGAAAAGAACATTCATGAGAAAGAGAAAGCATGTGTTTGAAGAGCTGTCAGAACTCAAAGCCAATTAAAAATGACTAAGCATGGACATGGACCATAAAATAAAATCAGTAAATTAGGCAGAGAACAGAGGCGGGATCTCATTCATATCCCAGTCTAATGCTATAGGGAGAGCAGCAAAGGAAAAGAAAAACAGTTGTTGCAGGTAGCCCAGAAACTGGAAAATAAGATTTCAGAACTGAAGCAATAGGCTGTCACATTAAATTGTCCTTCTTTTGGTGTGTAACCATATAACAGTGAACTGTTATGTGAATTGTCTAACTATTGGATAATAAAATGTGTTAAATCATGATATCTATCATCTATAATCATATTTGTATTGAAAATCCTTGAACTTGGACAAATCTATACAAGTCCTGGGTAGTTGTTTTGCAATGGCTACTTTTAGTTTTGAATATACTGTTTTAGCAATGTTTTATTTTGATATTATATTTTATATATTATATTTTATATATTATATTTTATATATTATATTTCTTTCTGCTCTCCTTAATAAGTTGTATGTTATTTTTCAGGCTCACCAAGATACCATATCAAAAACAGGTTCGACTGCCAAGAATCGTTTCACTGTCTAACATTTGGCCTTGTAAAGTGACAATGCTGGGCTGTGCATATTTGAATGCAGGTGGTTCCAGTGCTATGCTTGGCAGCAAGAAGTGTTCCCCATCAATGGAGTGATGGCTACCCTGCCAACTTGCCTGTCTGCGCACCAACATACCTGTGTGTCTGTGTCTGCCTGCCTGCCTACCACCAGCCTGCCGGCCCCTGTCATTGGTTGTGGCATCCCCTTGTGTACAGTACATATAAGGCAGAGAGACACAAACACATGATAGCTGCTTGCTCCTTGACACTTTATATTCATGGATTTAACAGTTGAAAACACTAAAGACAAAAGGACTATCTACACTTCTGAATGACCAATATGTGGACTACCTTATTATGTGTAGTTCCTCTTCGATAAAGTTGTGTCCAAGACAATTCTAAAAGAAAAAAAAATAATGTATCATATTTTCATACATATGTAAAAAAAAATCATGTCCATGGTTCAATAATTCATCATCGTAAGTAATGATGGCCTCAGAGCTTTACAGCATGGGTGTGTTTACATTTCAACCACATGGAGATCTATACTGTTCATTTGTTATTTATAAATACTAGTTCACATTGTTATAACCATGTTTACTTTCCGTGGGTTGAAATGGAAACAAGAGTAACCATTGTCTTGCAAGTGTAATCTCTCCTTTTCAATATGTTCCCTTTTGTTTGCGTTAAATGCAGCTCACCTGAACATGTAATTACGCTCTTGTTTTATTGTCTTTATTTACCAAACGAAATCAAGTTGCATCAAAGGAACAGACCATTTATTATGGTGGTGGTGAACTCGAGAGCATGAGAGGAGGGTCTCCATTGTGATGATAGTTGTAGGGAGAGTTTTGTGTAAATAAATGTGCTATTTTGGGAGGGTCGAGAAAAAGGGCAGATTTTTATCTCATCTTGGTCAAGCCATGTGAGTTAATTGATGGCCTGTGTGTCCATTGTAAATATCACCCCTCAGAACAACTGGACAAATGAAGCTGAAACTTTGCTTACTAATTTCTATCATTCTATCAATTTGCAGTTCAAGAGGTTCCAATCTGATTTGCAAAATGGCTGCCTATTGAAAAAGACAAACTTTATGGACATCACTTGGCCATTGTTTTGAGATTGATATTGTTTTGTTTATGGTAGGGCTGAACCTATTTTTTCAATTTTTGAATTTTAAACTTGATTTGAAGTAAGAAAATTGAATGTTGTTCATTCCTTTAGATTCCCTAAAGATGTATTCTATGCTCTCTTAAGTTCTTGACTCATAAAGTAGACATTTGGCACATACATTTCTATCAATAGTGAGATGAAATTTCTTTAAAAGTGGCATAATGGGGATTCTTGGGCAGATTACTATGATTGTAATAAGAGCCATCTAATCAGTTGTTAACAGTACAGGACCTGGCTTATTGTGTGTCCTATTTGGATGGCATAGATTGTTGCTCATGCAGCCAACCACAAGATTTTCTGGCCTGGACTAGGACTATTTACAGGCAACATTGACGTAACTGAAATATTATAGACTTTCTCTTACTTAAATAGTATTTAGAATTTTCATAAGAAATGTTTAAAATTTGAAAACATCTTCTAAAAAATCTGCAAGATTTTCAAAGTGCAAACCTTGTGTGAACGCTAATGATTAGTGCTTTTGAGTTTATTAAGGCATGATGATAGACATAAATCTGTCCACAACAATAATATTTTGAATAAAACCCAGAAATTCCTGCTTCATTCCATGTTATTATCAATTGGCTATCCATGTGGTTATGTTTGTCATTAACTTTTGCAATTTCCATATCTCCTGAAATTTCAAAGCCTGGAAATGAAAATCCAGTTGTGGGGTCTCCAAGTAGCTCACAGAATTCCAGAAGCCATGTTTTAAACATGTTCAAGTACTCATGACAGCCATTATGAAAATGTCATTTTTCCACAATGTTCAGCCACTTCAAGGTTCTGAATTTTATATTCTGTAAGATTTGGGAATAAAACTTATAAAAACAAATGAATTGGTTCTTAGGCAATGACGTTTGAAAATATAATGCGGGTGGGCACTGGTAGTTTTTTGTTTGTTCAAACTGTAGTATGTAAGCAAATGAACAGTTGTGTACCATCAACCTGGGAAAGGGTCTCCCTACATAAACAAGCATACAAATTCCTATTGCCGCCATAAAGCAGTGCACATGTGAAGGGAAGTAACTGTGTGGTATATTGGATCACATTCTTTTGAAGTATTAGAATTTTTTAATTGTTTTTGAAAATGGAAATAAAAACGAAACTTGCGGCAGACTTTATGGTGAAGCGGGCGGTGCCTGAGAACCAAGACTATTATTTATTTTAGCCTAACGTAGCATGTTTGAAATATTTCTTTTCACAACTTTGATCTTTGACAGTTGTGCCATACAGTCATAATGAACTTGTAGACCAACCGTTCAATATTTCTTAATGAATGCAAGTGCTTAGCCTTGTGCCTAATTGTTGAATTAACTTATTGAATTGTTTATTGAAAAGCTCCATTACTATTCAATTGATTTGGAGGCATAGAAGGCACCTAACAGAAGGGAGCATTTTGCTCATAACATTTTCCACTGGTTGGTCTGGTCCTTCTGCTTGGAAGTTGCTGTAATATTGCTAGCAGCAGTGGTTGTCAACAAACAAGTTGTAGAGGCATGGGACTTTCTGTTTTCTATATTTTCCCCAACCAGAAGTAATATCATTGAATGGGAGTGTTATCATCCAACTTGGAAGTGTGTGTAACATTCTTTTGAAGATAGTTGGAGGCATAGGTCTTTATGGTTTAAAGCTGTCTTGCATTAGACGTGTGTCAAGAATATATTTCATAACATAACAGGAAAAGTGTCTTTAGGCTCATTGTGTTAGCAGAGGCAAGGTTGTTTAATCCAGTATGAGGTTGTGGTATGCATGCATCAACAAACTGACAGAAATGGCGTGACATTGGAAATTTGGGGTGGTTATGTATTAATTCCTCTAGTTCTCCATTACCCCTTCATAAAATATTTGGGGCGGTCGGGTAGCCTAGTGGTTAAAGCGTTAACTCGTCATGCCGAAGACCCGGGTTCGATTCCCGACATGGGTACAATGTGTGAAGCCCATTTCTGGTGTCCCCCGCCGTGATATTGCTGGAATATTGCTAAAAGCGGCGTAAAACCATACTCACTCACTTATAAAATATTTGGACATCAATATTGACAGCAACTTATTAACTTAATAAATCTCCAGGTGAGCTGCAGTGCAGTCACACTTTTTTTGTACCTGTTACAGTATTGGTAATCTTTGTGTCATTTCATTGTGATGTCTACAATTTGGCACCATGTTTTGCTTTTTATCACTTTTAGCATAAAGCTGTGTTGCAACTTTCAAGCCTGAGGTTAGCCAACTACACAGACCATTTTTATTTGTCGGATTCTCTCCCGTGACTCTGCTAAAGTTTGTTCGCTCCAAGCAATGTTGGTACTATCACAAGTCAAATGATAATTTTTTTTAAAATCAGTTTTGGCCTCCATATCATGCATGCTGAAAATCTCTTTTGGTTTATTTTATATAATTTTTGCAAAGTACCTTCGTTAGGTACTTACAGCGATGCTAATGATGCTTTCCTCTTCACATGTTATTATTTATCTGAATCTAGTGATGTTAACAAGATATGTTTCACTGTTATTTGTAACTTGCATGTAGAGTGTCTTAAAATTGATTCATGTTTATTAGAAATGCTAATTTTCCTTTCACTTTGAGGGAAGTTATGTCAGATGCAATGATCGTGTGTCTCACTATACATTGTTTCCTTATTTCATAAGACCCCACTGTTGTGTTCAGGTGAGCTCTCATGCCGATGTTGGCTCTATTTCTGTGACCTTAAGTGGCCTCATTCTAAATAACTTTCATAAATGATCTCTGCAATATATGGCCTGAAATTGGTATTATAATAAATTGTCCACTCCCCTTTTTTTATAAACATTCCTTATGAGATTGATTTTAAGATGATTAATGTGATTAGGCCAGGTTCATTTGATTTTAGCTTACCTCAACTGAAGTTCAAGTGAGCTTTTCCCAGGAGCATTGTCTGTCATCTTCCCATGCATACAGTAATTGTAAACATTCAATTTCTCTATGAAGCTAAGGTAGAGATGCCAACCATTATGATTTCGGCCAAATAGTTACAATTTTGAGCCTAAAAATAAGCCATTCCTCCTTGAAACACATTTTTTTTCATTAATTATTTAAATTTATTACATGCCCGTGTACACATCGTTTAATACCAAAGCACTTGCCTATGTGCTGCGGGGAACAAGTTACACTGACAAAGCTCTCAACATCTCTTGGCTTATTCAACGACATAGTATGAGGAGATGATAGATCACTGAGAGGAGCTTATGCACACTCAATGACCCCAGCAACCCCGTTGCTAGGCTGACATCACATGGCATTGTTTCGCTGGAGGATCTTGCAACATAATTCCACAGGTCATAGAGTATTGTGACGTGATTGTAAACTTTGTGGTGCAGGTCTCGCTTTCACTCGTCAATTACAAGAACTATTCACCCGTTTCATAAAATTGGTATTACACGGGAGCGCATTTAGGATTCTATATGCATAAAATATCCAAGAGAGCAAATTGTGAGATGAAACATTCTACAACAAGGTCAATGTCCACTACTCAGAGATACGAGGTCTCTGATTAGTTATTATGCTAAAACACTCAAGTCATGTTATCGCTAGATCTTTGTTGGTGCAGTTGGTAACTAATTGCAAATTGATAACTTTATTACTACAAAACTTAGAACACATTAGATAGTCTCAAAGGTGACACCCTTTCTAAGAAAGTTAACATTAACATTTTTGTTTGCCCCACTGATTGCTCAAAAGCTTCAATTAGGGTTGGCATTTCTGCTAAGGTTCTACACTGATGATCCCAGAATTAAATAATTCTCACCAAACTGATTTTAAACATGGTTTCCAAGGCAACCATATTGAAATTGTCACGTTTACTGTAACATTGATATTTCTTCAGGCATCATTTGATGTGCAGTTAAAAAATGTTGTATGCAGAATAATGTTAGTTATATTATTGTTATCAACTATGACCTTTACATACCCCTGTAAATCTAGTCTTACTGCATTTGGACATCTTTTTTTTAAACCAAAATACCTTATATTGAGTATACTCTGAAAATGAATATTTGGCCAGATACAATTACTAAATTCTCAATGTGTAATTCCATGTACATATAGTTTGGATGTCTTCAGGTGAACTAGTCTGTAGCTCTATATTTAGTACTGGAATTGTTTCACTCTTCTGGGTTTTTTGTTTCCATCGTGAACTTCGGAAGATATACAGATGCATGTGTATGCTCCAGAATCAGGATTCAGGATTTCTTTGAATTTAAGGAAAATATTGGAATTCAGACATATGTAATTAATTACCAGGGGGTAAATGCATGTTTGACAGGATGTTATTCAGATTATCACATAGTCCTCTTCATAAACATCTTTTGTTTTGTATGTTTTGCTAGTTGTCACATCCTAACATGTAGTTTCTTGTTGAAAGCAGATAGCTGGTTTTTGGGTCGTTATATGTTGAGGTGTAAGCCAGTACAACTGATCAACAGAAGTAACATGATCAGTTGCAGAAAGGCTGGGAATGAGCTTCTACTTTAGTTATTATGGTTTCAATCAAATGTTGCATTTAATTAATTTACAAAGATGAATAGAGAATTGGATGAAGGTGACTGTGGCAGATTCAGTTATTATAGTTCACATCTTTGAGCAGTATTTCTTTTTGTTCTTCACACTGTCTTTGAAAAAGAAATTGCCATTAAATGACTGATACATTAGATATGTAATTACATGTGGCCAGAGATTTGTCAAAAACTGTGGTTTCTAATTGAAGGCATATCATCCGTGTCACGACAATCATTGTTGAAAATTATACATTTCTTTTTTTTCTGAATGGGGATAAATCAGCGCTGGATTCATTTAAAGTGTTTGGGGCAATAGTTCACAGTGACAAGGGCAGATTTACTTACTAGAAAAAAATAAACTTGAAATCTACTCTCTCTTTTTCCCTTTCATTAGTGTGTATGAGCTACGCAGTTGAACATGGTACAATGGAATAGAAATGGCTAAGGAGAATGCTTTTACTGGTTCGTTTATGGATAAAACTTAAAATTGCCACAGCAGCCACATTGAAAATATCATTCTTAGCTCACCTTGTTGACGGTTAATTCATGTGTTTTTCCTTGACATCCATTGTCTATAGTGTGTCTCCAAAGATACCACTGGACCAAAAAAGCTGAAACTTTACATACCCCGGTATTTGTTTCCGTCAGTGATGACACCCGGATCTATTTAAAAGATTCACATCCAATTTTCAATATGGCCACCACAGCAGCAGTTGTCCCAGCGACTGGATGATGACGTTGTTGATTTCTCAGTAGCACTTCATGATCCTAACCATCACCTCATCTGAATAAAATGGGTTTTCTTTCAAATTCCGTCTGATTTATCTTTCTGGTTTTGTTGTCACAATCTTACTGATGCTATATGCTCATGCACAGTTTATTTGGGTGTCAAGTATACATGTGAAGTTAGTTGTGGGGTTCAAAGCAGATTTTGAAAAGACTATGGCCACAGCTCAGCCATGTTTGTTCAAAATGTGATGTTATGCTCTTAAATTCTCTCAAAATGCATTCTTGGTTCTGTAAACATCTTCTCATCTGAAGTTGCTTGACTGAGGAAGCTGAACTTTAGCATGTGAACAAAAGGAAACAGTTGTTCTTGGTTCGTTGTGGGACAGCACACCCCAAGACACCCGTCACTGAACATTTTCCATATGTTGTGAATCGTGCTCTTCATGCTCTGTATCTGTTGACAGACTACACTAAATAACTTGACATCAGCTGTTGACATAATCCTTTTTTGACGGAGATGTCCGTAGTCTTTAAGACAGAAGTTTGCTTTGTCTGGAGGAAATAGAACTTTCATTATCGGGGAGAAAACACCATTTATGATAGAAAGAAGTTAATGTTCACACTTGCGGTGAATGTAGAGGAATATTGTACTTTGGGGTTTTTAAATTCAGACATTATATTACAGGTTTAAAAGAGCCAGGTACATACTCAGGGTAGTAAAACCAAGGAATTCTTTTCTGCTTTGGAGAACATTTTTGTGTGGGACCTATAACTTGAAAACTACTGCATGGATTCTTTTCAAATTAAGCGAACAATTTCCATACTAATAAAAAAAGGTGCAGTGCAAAGTGTTTCTATGTGGATATTAAGAACATATGATTTTTTTTCATGTTTTGAAATTAGTTTTTTTACTTCCACATTTGTGCGATCTATAACTTGATAACTACTGCATGGTATCTTTTCCAATTTGGGGTACAGTTTCTATACCAATAGGAGAGGTGCAGTGCAAAGTTTGATCTCGATAAGTGGATTTGAGAAAATATTTATTATTTAAAATTTTTTTTTAATGTTTTGAACTTAGAAACATGCTGGAGTAGAAGTCGGGGGTATTTGTGAGCCCTACCCATATCATGGTAGCAGAGCGTGGTTACAAGCTTTAAGTCAGTTATGTCTGAAATTCTGGAAAAAGTGCTCTGTAAAGAGTGTTAAATGGGGAACATTTTGAAACTGAAAAAACTAAAAGCTTATGTTAAGTCAGCCTTAACAAAAGCCCCAAACAAGTTGTACAATATACTAGAATTTCTTGATCAACCATCTCAAATTGACATTGGAGATGGCATAGTCAGGTGAAAGCAATCAAATGTTACGACTAAACTCACCTTGGCTTTTACAATGCATCAAGATCAAATTGTAGCTAAAACTTACCAAGAAATTAGCCATCTTGAAGATGAAACTAATGTAGTTGAACAGGCACAAGTTCACATAGATAATAGGTCAAATGCAACTATTATGTCAAGTAGAAGTTCAAAAGCTGCATTTATGACAGGCAAAGACCAAGCACCAGCGACTGCTGAATACAAGCTGTTGCAGCTAAGGCAATATTTTGGGGGGGAAACTTTGAAAGTTGACAAATTTGAAGCCTATTTGCCCAGGCTTTTCTCGAGATGTTGAAAGATTTGCTGATGTCATGGACATTTGTGTCCGTCTGAAAGAAGCAAGGTGTAAGAGCTTGGTAATGGGTTACTGTATGCCACTTTACAAAAGGAAATGACTGAATCTTGGGTCGCACAATGTCAAAGATGGCTTCATTATAGTGAATGGGTACTTCAGGAAGCTGAATACCAAACAGTAGCTATGAAAACATATAGTTTTTTTCTTTTCTGATAAGGCAAAAGATAATAGCTTAAAAGAATCATGTTCGTTTGTCAGTAGTGAGTTACATCAAAATAAAAAAACAAACGTACTGGAACATATTGCACAAGTCAAAATAGGGAATTGCATTGGAAATAATTTTTGTCACTGATGTGTCAAATGTTGGAAATGTCCTCCACATGTGTATCATAAAATGTTTTGAAAGCTTTAATGTGGCCCTGAATGTTGTAACCTTAATCAAAAGACTTTTGAGCAAAAAAAGAGTATACTAGTGGAAAAACGTAAATGTGATTCATATAAGTGGGAATAACCTATTTGGCCATTTGCCGATCAATGTTTTATCATAACCAATTCATTGACAAAACCAGTACCTGTTAGTAACAGGAGAGAGCTACACGCCCTAACAAGAGGTGTGGCGTAACAACTCCATTAGCAATGTCAATGTGACCACCATTTGTGTTGATACAGGCAATGCAGCGGCACATTGAAGACACCACACAATTGAAAACAGCCTGGGGTATGTTGTTCCAAATGACGACCAAAGATTGGGCCAACTGAGCTAGCGTTACCTGCTGGGTGTCTTAGGCATCGTTCTAATTCATCCCAGACATGGAGGAGAGGTCTGGAGAAACAGCTGGCTACTGGTTACAAGTGCAATGGGCATTATTCTACTGCAACGTCATGATACATCCCTTCATGTGCACAAAGGGTAGAACATAATCTCAAACAATATCATTCCGAGGTTTGATCCCCGGCTGCGTCGTACCAAAAGAAGTTGAACTATGGTACTACTTGTTACCCTGTCTGGCGCTCAGCATTAAGGAGCTAAAACAAGGACTGGTCAGCTCAGATCGGAATACTGTGTCTGAGTGGGGTATTCTTGTTAAACTGCGGTATGGGATCTCAGTGGGCAAGCACTATAAAAATCAGCATAAGTCCGGACTAGTCACACACACACACGACTTGGAAGAACTGGGACAGAATAGGTCTTCAGCAACCCATGCTTGACGTAAAAAGAGATTATGCTTGTCGTTAGAGGCGACTAATGGGATCGGGTGGTCAGACTCACTGACTTGGTTGATGCATATCATCATATCCCAATTGCATGGATCGATGCTCATGATATCAATCACTGGATTGTCTGGTCCAGACTTGATTATTTACAGACCGCCGTCATTCAGCTGGACTATTGCTTAGTGCGGCACGGATACACACACGCAGCGGAGTGAGGCCATATACTGAAACCCCGTAAGGAGGACCCTTAGTCCCAGAGGTGCTATGTATAGGTTTTTATGTATTTTGAATATGTCCTCTTCCACAAGTAACTTCGTCACATTGTTTTATTCCTAAGGCAAATAGACCGCCTTCGTGGTCTTGTGGTAGAGCGTCCGCCCAGAGGGCGGAAGGTCCAGGGTTCAATCCCGGGCCGCGTCATACAAAAAGACATTAAAAGATTGTACTTGTTGTTACCCTGTCTGGCGCTCGGCATTAAGGGGCTAAAACAAGGACTGGTCGGCTTTGAGTCAGTATACTGTGTCTGAGTGGGGTATTCATGTTAAACTGCGGCATGGTATCTCAGTGAGCTAGCACTATAAATCGGCATCAGTCCGGACTAGTACAAGCAGCCACACACACACATACACGTGCATGCACGTCGCTATATAAGTGCAATAATCTTGGACGCGACGTTAAACCCAATTTCACCTCACCTAAGGCAAATAGGTCTAGAGATAGCATTTTTCAAACCTGCAAGACAAGTGAGGACCATTCCCATAATGCAATTTGTTGGTCCTCGCAATGAATAATACTGGATATGTGTAGGTCCTCATTCTGCTAACGTAAAACAAGTCAATATATATTTATATTTCATAAAACTTGGAATTATCCTCCATGTGTGTTCCTCATGCTAAAGGTAGAAAGTTATCAAACACGCTCCAAAAACAACCATGTGTTCTACTAGTCTGATCTCTATTCATCGTAAGAGCCTTGGTGTGTGCCTGTATGGCAATGCCTTCATTGCGAGGATCTGAATGTGTGATTATTGAGGACCCGAGTCTGTATGCCCTTATGATGTATAGTGATGCCTTCATTAGGAGGACCTGGATGTGTGCCCTTAAGACTTACTACGATGCCTCCATTCGAGGGACTGGTCTAGTGGTAGCCGGCTTCGATCCCCGGCCACGTCATACCAAAAGAGGTTAAAATTTGGTACATCTTGCTACCCTGTCTGGCGCTTAGCATTAATTGGCTAAAACAAGAACTGGTTGGCTTGGAGTCAGTATAAAAAGACCACAAAAAAACATGCACGCACTCGCATGTATATCTTGGACGTGACGTTAAACCCCATTTCACATTACTAGGACCAGGATGTATGATTAGCAAGGACCCGTGTGAGAGAGAGATATGTATAAAAATGCCTTCATCATGAAAACCTGGATATGTCATGTATAATAAGCAAGGAACCATGTGTGGTGTTTGGAATAAGCCTGTCCAGTAATGGCCAAATGTCTGCAGCATTAACAGGAAATGGAGCCTTTCAAAATTTAATAACACTTTAGTCCTTTTATTACTTGAATATTACATGTGGCATAGTCAAAATAAAAGGGTCACAATAGGGTTAATAAAGAGACAGGCCATATCATACTTGTTACTTCAAAATTCCAATGGAATCAACATCATTTGTACAGATCATGGTGTCATCCTACATGACTAAAAAAGGTTTAAGGACCAACCGATTCTTTAATATTACATTAGTTAATCTGTCATGGTAGCTACGATTAACTATACTGATATGTATTCATGCAAAAAGTGGATGACTGCATGGTCTCCATCTCTGGTAACGGGTCTCCACTTTTGCAATATTGTCACAGAATAATGTTATGCCCTCCATATAATGCAACATCTTGAGATATTGTCTTTATTCCAAATGAAAATTCTCAAAACAAGTTCTATCTCCATTAGGACAAAGAGAAAACTTTAGGCCAGCTGACCATTCCTGTGGCAGGCAGGCAAGCAGGCGGCGAGGAGTAAGTGTATGTCTTTAATAGTGGCGTTACAATAAACTGAGAACAACGATACAAAGTATTGATCATTTCCATACAATCCCATTGAGTACAGTTAAAAGGCTTTCAATGCCATGAAGTTTGTCATCATACAACAAATCCTGTCTTATCAAAGGTTATTATGGATTTAGGTATCCAACTTTCAAT